ATTACATTATAATGTTATTATCAATATTATATGTAAATACAATACAAGTAGCATATTATTATATATTATATCATACTATATTATTATACCACAATATAATTACTATATTACAATATTGTATTATTATTACTATTATATTGTATTACATTATAATATTATCAATATATCAATTATATTAATATCAATATTATATATATCATATAATTATATATTATTATATTGTACTATATTATTATACCACATTAGAATTACTATATTTCAATATTATAAATTATTATATTGTATTATATTATAATATTATCAATATATCAATTATATTAATACCAATATTATATGTATATACAATACAAGTATCATATTATTATATATTATTATTATATTGTACTATATTATTATACCACAATATGTATGATAGACTATCATTATATTATACTATTAGTATGATATAATACATTTTACTATATCATAAGCTGTAGTATATATTATATATAATATATTGTATTGCAACATCATTAATCTTACATATAATATTACCATCTTCCCCTGCTTTTATCTCTTGGTTGAGTCTCTAAGCATCTAACATATTATTAATAATAATTCTTAGTATTATATTGTATTACATTATAATATTATTATCAATATTATATGTATATACAATACAAGTATCATATTATATATTATATATAATAATATACACATTGTATATTATTATACTAATGGTATAATACAATGGTAGTGTATTATACATATTGTGGTATAATAATATACTATTAATATGATATAATACATTGTACTATATCATAAGCTGTTGTATATATGACATTATATTATTATTAATAAAAATAATATTAATACAGCAACATCAACAATGACTCAATGAAAGAGAGAGGCTGCCACACCTCTCTTGGCCTCTAGATGGCACCATTGTGCTTGTAAACAATATGTGTCTGCCTGCCTTGAAGTTGTCTATTATGGACTTCAGAGATGGTTTTGCTGGTCTTCCTTTTGGACTGCCAATCCCATCATCCCCAGCCAGCATAGATGGGAGTGACAGTCCCAAAGGTCCCTTTCCCAATACTATGGCGGTTCTTAATTTGCAGCCTTTGGGGAAAAGAGACAAAGGTCTGAATCATAGAATCCTAGAATCCTAGAGTTGGAAGAGACCTCATGGGCCAGTCCAACCCCATTCTGCCAAGAAGCAGGAATGTTGCATACAAAGCACCCCTGACAGATGGCCATCCAGCCTCTGTTTAAAAGCTTCCAAAGAAGGAGCCTCCACCACACTGCGGGGTAGAGAGTTCCACTGCTGAACAGCTCTCACAGTCAGGAAGTTCTTCCTCATGTTCAGATGGAATCTCCTCTCTTGTAGTTTGAAGCCATTGTTCCATTGCGTCCTAGTCTCCAAGGAAGCAGAAAACAAGCTTGCTCCCTCCTCCCTGTGGCTTCCCCTCACATACTTATACGTGGCTATCATGTCTCCTCTCAGCCTTCTCTTCTTCAGGCTAAACATGCCCAGCTCCTTAAGCCACTCCTCATAGGGCTTGTTCTCCAGACCCTTGATCATTTTAGTCGCCCTCCTCTGGACACATTCCAGCTTGTCAATATCTCTCTTGAATTGTGGTGCCCAGAATTGGACACAATATTCCAGGTCTACATATATGTATGTGTGTTTGCGTGTGTGTATATGTATATGTGTGTGTGTGTATGTGGTTTTGCACATGCACTGTAATGTTTTATTTTTTGGCTTTTGAAATCCCTTCCACTGGGTTTTTCAGTGTTTTTATGAGTGATGGTCACTCGTGTCCTGATACGCATATTGTGTCCAAATTTGGTGTCAATTTGCCCAGTGGTTTTTTGAGTTATGTTAATTCCACAAATGAACATTATGCATATATATAAATATATATATACGAGAGAGAGAGATAATAGTATTATAGATTTGGAACGGACCCCCAAAGGCCATCCAGTCCAACCCCATTCTTAACTGTGAGGTGTTTGCAAGTTGGGTGTTTGTAACTCAAGACACTCCCCGTATGTGTGTGTGTGTTTGTTTGTGTGTGTGTTTATATATATATATATATATATATATATATATATATATATATATATATGAGATATAGTATCTTAGATTTGGAAGGGACCCCCAAAGGCCATCCAGTCCAGCCCTGTTCTTAACTGTGAGGTGTTTGCAAGTTGAGTGTTTGTAACTCAAGACACTCCCCATATGTGTGTGTGTGTGTTTGTTTGTGTGTGTGTGTGTTTATATATATATATATATATATATATATATATATATATATGAGATATAGTATCTTAGATTTGGAAGGGACCCCCAAAGGCCATCCAGTCCAGCCCCGTTCTTAACTGTGAGGTGTTTGCAAGTGGGGTGTTTGTAACTCAAGACACTCCCCGTATGTGTGTGTGTGTTTGTGTGTGTGTGTGTGTGTGTATATATATATGAGATATAGTATCTTAGATTTGGAAGGGATCCCCAAAGGCCATCCAGTCCAGCCCTGTTCTTAACTGTGAGGTGTTTGCAAGTGGGGTGTTTGTAACTCAAGACACTCCCCGTATGTGTGTGTGTGTGTGTATATATATGAGATATAGTATCTTAGATTTGGAAGGGATCCCCAAAGGCCATCCAGTCCAGCCCTGTTCTTAACTGTGAGGTGTTTGCAAGTGGGGTGTTTGTAACTCAAGACACACCCCGTATGTGTGTGTGTGTGTGTTTGTATATATATATGAGATATAGTATCTTAGATTTGGAAGGGACCCCCAAAGGCCATCCAGTCCAGCCCCGTTCTTAACTGTGAGGTGTTTGCAAGTGGGGTGTTTGTAACTCAAGACACTCCCCGTATGTGTGTGTGTGTGTGTATATATATGAGATATAGTATCTTAGATTTGGAAGGGATCCCCAAAGGCCATCCAGTCCAGCCCTGTTCTTAACTGTGAGGTGTTTGCAAGTGGGGTGTTTGTAACTCAAGACACTCCCCGTATGTGTGTGTGTGTGTGTATATATATGAGATATAGTATCTTAGATTTGGAAGGGATCCCCAAAGGCCATCCAGTCCAGCCCTGTTCTTAACTGTGAGGTGTTTGCAAGTTGGGTGTTTGTATCTCAGGCCCCCTATCTATCTATCTATCTATCTATCTATCTATCTATCTCATATATATATGTGTGTGTAACTGTGTGTAACTGTGAGGCCTTTGGAAGTCAGGTGTTTCTAACTTGGGCACTTCTTGTATATACATGTGTGTGTGTATGAAATACAGTATCTTAGATGGCTATCCAGTCCAGCCCCATTCTTAACTGTGAGTCATTTGCAAATCAGGGGTTTGTAACTCAGGTCCTGTATGGATGCATTGAGATAGATATAGATATAGTATACAGATGGCCCCCAGAGGCCATCCAGTCCAGCCCTGTTCTTAACTGTGAGGCATTTGCAAGTCAGGTGTTTATAACTTCGACACTCCCTGTATATGTGTGTGTGTGTGTATGAGAGATATAGTATCACAGATTTGGAAGGGACCCCCAAAAGCCATTCCAGTCCCGTTCCTAATTGTGAGGCATTTGCAAGTCAGGTGTTGGTAACTCATGTATTCTCTGTATGTGTGTGTGTGTATATAAATATTATATTATATTATATTATATTATATTATATTATATTATATAGTGAGAGATATAGTATCACAGATTTGGAAGGGACCCCCAAAGACCATCCAGTCCAATCTTATTCTAAACTGTGAGGTGTTTGTAAGTTGGATGTTTGTAACTCAGGTACTACACACACACACACACACACACACACACACACACCTCATAGATTTGGAAAGAGGCCACCCCAGTCCAGGCCCGTGTCTAACTTTGATGTGTTTGCAGGTCAGGTGTTTCTAACTCGGGCAGTCCCTGTATGTATGTGTGTGTGTGTATAGATATACACACACACACACACACACACACACTAGCTGTCCCCTGCCACGCGTTGCTGTGGCCCACTCTGGTGGTCATGGGGGTTCTGTGTGGGAGGTTTGGCCCAATTCTATCATTGGTGGGGTTCAGAATGCTCTGTGAATGTAGGTGAACTATAAATCCCAGCAAATACAACTCCCAGATGTCAAGATTCTATTTCCCCCAAACTCCACCAGTGTTCCCATTTGGGCATATGGAGTATTTGTGTAGAGTTTGGTCCAGATTCATCGTTGTTTGAGTCTACAGTGATCTCTGGATGTAGGTGAACTTCAACTCCAAAACCAAAGGATACTGCCCACCAAACCCTTCCAGTATTTTCTGTTGGTCATGGGAGAACTGTGTGCCAGGTTTGGTTCAATTCCATTGTTGGTGGGTTTCAGAATGCTCTTTGATTGTAGGTGAACTATAAATCCCAGCAACTACAACTCATGAATGTCAATATTCTATTTCCCCCAAACTTCACCAGTGTTCACATTCGGGCATATTGAGTATTTGTGTAGTTTGGTCCAGATCCATCATTGGTGGGTTTCAGAATGCTCTTTGATTGTAGGTGAACTATAAATCCCAGCAACTACAACTCCCAAGTGACAAAATCAAAACATTTTTTGAGTGAAGGACACACATTGGGTTGTTAGGTGTCTTGTGTCCAAATTTGGTGTCAATTCCTCCAGTGGTTTTTGAGTTCTGCTAATCCCACAAACGAACATTACATTTTTATTTATATAGATATATATAAGATACAGTATCATAGATGTAGAAGGATCCCCCAAAGGCCATCCAGTCCAGCCCTGTTCTTAACTGTGAGTCATTTGCAAATCGGATGTTTGTAACTCAGGTCCTGTATGGATATATTGAGCTAGATATAGTATTACAGATTTGGAAGGGGCCCCCAGAGACCATCCAGTCCAGCCTCATTCTTAACTATGAGTTATTTGCAAGTTGGACAATGTACTGTTGATAACTCAGGTCTTGTATGTACCGTATGTATATGTATATAGATGGGATGGATCTAGAACGAGAGACCCCTCACCTGCACTGCTGCCGGTCAGGGGCCAGGAGGAGCAGGACCTTCCCCCCGTGGAGGCGCAGGCCCAGGCAGCTGTCCCTCTGGGCGCCCGGCGGGAGGGGCGGGAGGTCCCGGATCTGGCCGCCCTCCAGGATGTCCTGGCAGCCGCTGCCCAGGGCGATGCCCGTCTCGGCCGGGGAGTGCGCGTCCGGACACACCAGCAGGCTCCCGTCCACCGAGAGCAGCAGGAACTTCTCCTTCCACTGCTTAAAGAGGAAGCCACCTGTGCAAGGGACACTGGCATTTACTCACATCTGCAAAATTAAGGGGTGCATCATATCCATGCAATACGGTAATCTTAGTACTGAGCCAAAGAGAAAGGGGAAGCTTTGAGAGATGTCATTTCTCAATGAATTGCATTGGCTCAATGCTATGCAATAATGGGATTTGTATAAATGACTTCTGCCAAATTAAGGGGTGCGTTATATCTATGCAATACGGTAATCTCAGTTATGAGCCAAAGCAAAAGGGGAAGCTTTGAGAGATGTCATCTCTCATTGAATTGCATTGGCTCAATGCTATGCAATAATGGGATTGGTGTAAATGACCTCTGCAAAATTAAGGGGTGCAATACGGTAATCTCAGTTATGAGCCAAAGCAAAAGGGGAAACTTTGAGAGATGTCATTTCTCATTTAATTGCATTAATTCAATGCTATGCAATAATGGGATTTGTAGAAATGACCTTTGCAAAATTAAGGGGTGCATTATATTCATGCAATACGGTAATTTCAATACTGAGCCAAAGCAAAAGGAGAAGCTGCTGCAAGAACTACTCTTTGAAGGACGACATCTCTCATTGAATTGCATTGGCTCAATGCTATGCAATAATGGGATTGGTGTAAATGACCTCTGCAAAATTAAGGGGTGCATTATATCCATGCAATACGGTAATCTCAGTTATGAGCCAAAGCAAAAGGGGAAGCTTTGAGAGATGTCATTTCTCATTTAATTGCATTAATTCAATGCTATGCAATAATGGGATTTGTAGAAATGACCTCTGCAAAATTAAGGGGTGCATTATATCCATGCAATACGGTAATCTTAGTGCTGAGCCAAAGTGAAAGGGGAAGCTTTGAGAGATGTCATTTCTCAATGAATTGCATTGGCTCAATGCTATGCAATAATGGGATTTGTAGAAATGACCTCTGCAAAATTGAGAGGTGCATTATATCCATGCAATACGGTAATTTCAATGCTGAGCCAAAGCAACAGGAGAAGCTGCTGCAAGAACGACTCTTTGAGGGATGTCATCTCTCGTTTAATTGCAATGGCTCAATGCTATGCAATAATGGGATTTGTATAAATGACCTCTGCAAAATTGAGAGGAGCATTATATCCATGCAATACGGTAATCTCAGTTATGAGCCAAAGCAAAAGGGGAAGCTTTGAGAGATGTCATTTCTCATTTAATTGCATTGGTTCAATGCTATGCAATAATGGGATTTGTGTAAATGACCTCTGCAAAATTAAGGGGTGCATTATATCCATGCAATACGGTAATCTCAGTTCTGAGCCAAACCAAAAGGAGAATCTGCTGCAAGAACAACTCTTTGAAGGACGTCATCTCTCATTGAATTGCATTGGTTCAATGCTAAGCAATAATGGGATTTGTATATGCAAAATTTAGGGGTGCATTATAGCCATGCAATATGGTAATTTCAATGCTGAGCCAAAGCAAAAGGAGAAGCTGCTGCAAGAATGACTCTTTGAGGGATGTCAGCTCTCATTGAATTGCATTGGCTCCATGCTATGCAATACTGGGATTAGTAGTTTGGTGTGGCATTAACATGCTTTGGCAGAGAAAGCCCTTGTGGAACTGCTGTCCCCATGACTCCATATCATTGATCATTGAACATTGAGACTCTTCCAGCAGTCACCAACCAACCCGCCTGCAAAGCCAGAAATACAGCTTAATGGTGTAACGTTAGAAAATGTTGACAATTTCCGCTCCCTCGGCAGCCACCTCTCCACAAAAGTCAACATTGACACTGAAATTCAACACTGCCTGAGCTCTGCAAGTGCAGCATTTTTCCAAATGAAGCAGAGAGTGTTTGAGGACCGGGACATCTGTAGGGAGACCAAGGGGGTTGTTGATAAAGCTATTATCTTCCTGACCCTGCTATACGCCTGCGAAACATAGACTGTCTACAGACGTCAACACTGACACTGAAATACAACACTGCCTGAGCTCTGCGAGTGCAGCATTCTTCCGAATGAAGCAAAGAGTGTTTGAGGACCGGGACATCCGTAGGGAGACCAAGGTGCTTGTTTATAAAGCTATAGTCCTCCCAACCCTGCTATACGCCTGCGAAACGTGGACTGTCTACAGATGTCAACACTGACACTGAAATACAACACTGCCTGAGCTCTGCGAGTGCAGCATTCTTCCGAATGAAGCAGAGAGTGTTTGAGGACCGGGACATCCGTAGGGAGACCAAGGGGCTTGTTTATAAAGCTATTATCCTTTCCTGACCCTGCTATACGCCTGCGAAACGTGGACTGTCTACAGATGTCAACACTGACACTGAAATACAACACTGCCTGAGCTCTGCGAGTGCAGCATTCTTCCGAATGAAGCAAAGAGTGTTTGAGGACCGGGACATCCGTAGGGAGACCAAGGGGCTTGTTTATAAAGCTATTATCCTCCTGACCCTGCTATACGCCTGCGAAACGTGGACTGTCTACAGATGTCAACACTGACACTGAAATACAACACTGCCTGAGCTCTGCGAGTGCAGCATTCTTCCGAATGAAGCAAAGAGTGTTTGAGGACCGGGACATCCGTAGGGAGACCAAGGTGCTTGTTTATAAAGCTATTGTCCTCCCAACCCTGCTATACGCCTGCGAAACGTGGACTGTCTACAGATGTCAACACTGACACTGAAATACAACACCGCCTGAGCTCTGTGAGTGCAGCATTTTCCCAAATGAAGCAGAGAGTGTTTGAGGACCGGGACATCCGTAGGGAGACCAAGGGGCTTCTTTATAAACCTCTTCCCATCCCAACCCTGCTCTACGCCTGCGAGACGTGGACTGTCTACAGATGTCACATTGACACTGAAATACAACACTGCCTGAACTCTGCGAGTGCAGCATTTTTCCGAATGAAGCAGAGAGTGTTTGAGGACCGGGACATCCGTAGGGAGACCAAGGGGCTTGTTTATAAAGCTATTATCCTCCTGACCCTGCTATACGCTTGCGGAACATAGACTGTCTACAGACGTCAACACTGACACTGAAATACAACACTGCCTGAGCTCTGCGAGTGCAGCATTCTTCTGAATGAAGCAAAGAGTGTTTGAGGACCGGGACATCCGTAGGGAGACCAAGGGGGTTGTCTATAAAGCTATTATCTTCCCGACCCTGCTATACGCCTGCGAAACGTGGACTGTCTACAGATGTCAACACTGACACTGAAATACAACACTGCCTGAGCTCTGCGAGTGCAGCATTCTTCCGAATGAAGCAGAGAGTGTTTGAGGACCGGGACATCTGTAGGGAGACCAAGGGGCTTGTTTATAAAGCTATTATCTTCCTGACCCTGCTATACGCCTGCGAAACGTGGACTGTCTACAGATGTCAACACTGACACTGAAATACAACACTGCCTGAGCTCTGCAAGTGCAGCATTTTTCCAAATGAAGCAGAGAGTGTTTGAGGACCGGGACATCTGTAGGGAGACCAAGGGGGTTGTTGATAAAGCTATTATCTTCCTGACCCTGCTATACGCCTGCGAAACATAGACTGTCTACAGACGTCAACACTGACACTGAAATACAACACTGCCTGAGCTCTGCGAGTGCAGCATTCTTCCGAATGAAGCAAAGAGTGTTTGAGGACCGGGACATCCGTAGGGAGACCAAGGGGGTTGTTTACAGAGCTATTCCTCTCCCAACCCTGCTACATGCCTGCGAAACGTGGACTGTCTAAAGACGTCACATGCAACTCCTGGAATGATGGCCTCTGTAAAATCCTGCAAATCTCTTGAGAAGAAGACAGGAGGACAAATATCAGCGTGCTGGAAGAAGCAAAGACCACCAGCACTGAAGCGATGGTCCTCCGCCATCAACTCCACTGGATCGGCCATGTTGTCCGAATGCCCAAAGATCACCGTCTCCCAAAGCAGTTCCTCTACTCCGAACTCAAGAACTGAAAACGGAATGTTGGCAGGCAGGAAAAATGATTGAAAGATGGGCTCAAAGCCAACCTTAAAAACATTATTATTATTATTATTATTATTATTATTATTATTATTATTATTATTATTATTTTGTTGTGTCAGGAGCGACTTGAGAAACTGCAAGTTGCTTCTGGTGTGAGAGAATTGGCCGTCTGCAAGGACGTTGCCCAGGGGATGCTGCCCGGATGATTTGATGTTTTTATCATCCTTGTGGGAGGCTTCTCTCATGTCCCCGCATGAGGAGCTGGAGCTGATAGAGGGAGCTCATCCACCTGTCCCCGGATTCGAACCTGCGACCTGTTGGTCTTCAGTCCTGCCAGCACAGGGATTTAACCCACTGCGCCACTGGGGGCACTACCTTAAAAACTGTGGCATAGACACCCAGAATTGGGAAGTTCTGGACCCTGAGCGCTCTAGCTCGAGGTCAGCTGCGACCAGCAGTGCTGTCGAATTCAAGGCACAAATGGAGGGTGAAAGAGAGAAACGTGCCAAGAGGACCACCTTCCACCTGGAAGCCGATTCCCTCACTGCGGGAAAACATGCGGGCCAAGAATAGGGCTTCACAGTCACGTATGTACCCACCGTCAGGACACCGAACTTGGAGGACAATCTTACTCAGACAACGAGGAATCGCCTAAGTAAGTAATTGCACCACTGAACTATAAAAATAAGAAAAATAAACATAATAATAAATATAAACATAATAATAAGCATAATAACAACCAAGGCAATGAAAGTGAATTCATTCTACACCATAGATGCACCCCAAGGTTTTCATTTCTGTCAGCAAATACTTTTCTTGGTTTTAAGAGATTAGGATGCGCATTAGATTCGATAGCGCATGAGACTTAAGTAGATACAGGTCATTTGCAAGCACTCATGGCATTTGTATGGGGCTGTTCTTTGGCAATAGACACAGATACAGGATGAGTCGATCATACTCTGGAAGCGAAGGAGATCATTCAATATGTTTAGTTGAGCAAACCACCTTGCTGGGTGGAGAGTGCCACGTGGAACTGATGCGCAGTTCAGAACTTTTGAG